GGAAAGATCCATCTCACCTAACTTTAGACTCCCAGTTAGGTGTCTTATCTATGCCAGTTGTTTGGGCTCCCTCTATAGGCAACAGAAAAAAACCCAAACAAACAGTTGTTATTAAAGTCTTCAAAAATGCCTACATTAGATCTAACTTTTGTTGGGAAGATTTGCCCTCTGGAGATGCAAGTCTCTGTCATTATCTATAACTGCAAATAAACAAGATGTCCACTTTTTAAATGGCTAAGTGAAATTAACTCAATCGCTGCTGTAGCCTGCACAACCGTAGACTGTACAACAGTACAGGAAATATAACTTGAATCTCTCAGTACAATAGACACTGTACTCACTGATTAGCTGCTATCAACTCAGGATCTGTATTTATATAAAGCATATAATCTCAAGGTGCTTCATAAGGCTGCACTTCCTATAAATGGTTCTTGTTAAACCCAGTGGTATCCCATTAAGTACTGTTTTATCTTACAGATCTTACTGCATGGCCATCCTTGTCATCAAAAAAATTCCCGAAGATGCAGAGGAATAGTTAACAGGCAGCATCTCCCAGGTTTTGTTGCTCCCAGTATGAAGCTAAGAAACCCTCTTTACATTTCTTGAAAACTGCACAACAATCACTGCAAACCCATTCCTGGAGAGCTTAGGAAAACATATTTTTGCTTCAGACAGAAATACTGAATCTCTTGTTCATACTAGTCTCTTGGGGAAAAAAGTTTTGGCCTGGTGATTTTTTGGGAAATTTTTTTCCCCAAAACACTTATATTCTCTGTATTCTCAAATAGTTTACTCAGATCTATGCCTGAAATGCTCTACATATATCTAATTATGTGGTCACAGCATCTTAGCCTGACTTTCTGCCAGAAGGCCAAGGGATTTAATAGTTAAATAAAGCACTGCACAAAGAGGTGGGAGAATTTCAGAACAGAAGGCAGGCCTGGGCAGCAGCAGTAGCACAACCAACAGCAGAACCAGAAACAGTAACATCCTCCATGTGGCCAGCTTTTCCTGAAGGACTCTCCAATTACAGCAGAAGCATCAGATAGTCAACTACAAAGAACTGCCATGTCTTTTTCTCTACCATATAACCATCATGAGGCCTGCTTTCCTGTTGCCCTGAGATACTGACAGTAAATAATATTAAATTAACTTCTATAGTACACCGTAACTGCCGTTAAAAAACAACAACGTTCCTTTGGTTTGATTTACAACAGCTCCTAAACAGCCTCCTTGCTCATATACCGTTAATTAGGAAAGCCAATTAATACTTCCAGCAGTAAGGAAAATGAGAATGCATATTACCTTTAAATCCCAGAGCGGAACTCAATTAAGACATACAGTGTGAAGAGCTCACCAGATACAGAACAAATGTCTTCTTACACTGAGTTTGTTACAGCTGAGTACACATACTTAATTTATTAAACAAGTCTTTGCCTGGAGCTATGGAGGCAAATCATACTACAGCTTCTACAGGACAAAGGTCTTAAAAGTATAGGTCCAATGTACTTAGAAGAGAGCAAAGGGGCTGAAGAATAAGCATGAGAATCTGTAGTTCTGTTAATGAAGGAGAGCTTTGATATTAAAAAGTTTCACATGTCTATGAGCTGCCTACTTTGACCTCTGTAAACCTATAATGATATCTTAGATGACAGAAGAAAATTCCATTTTACTTGTAGCATGGAAGGAAGAGAATTACAGGAAGAAGGAATTGCACTTAAAAATTCACTAAACAAATGAGCAAGGCATAACAGGAATCCTCAACATGTCAATAAGCAATGCTATGACAATGTTTTCAGAGAGGTACGTATTCATATACATTAAAGATAATTTTTGAACTCTCAACTACAGTCTAAAATGTCCTTTTTAAATTTAGTGTAAATCTGTTATAAGCACAGTAAAATGAAAAGAGTACATTTTGAAACACTCTTCTTCATTAAGGGCTTTCTTCTGGCAAAACGCAACCACCAGCTATTCTGAAATTCTTTCCAGGAAAATCTAAGCTCAGACTCTCATAACTGAAGCCCAGCCTAAGAAATTAATCACACTTTCTGACTTATCACAGACTTACTTTCTATCACTTCCCAATTTATGTTTTAAAATCTAGTACTACCTTGAACAGTTACAAGCTTTAGCATAGCTTCTAGGTGTTCTTTTTCAGAAGCTGTAGCTTGATGCAACCAGGCCAGCATGTCTCCTACGTACCTAAATAAAGACAGAAGTTTCTGTGTAAATTAGCAGTTTATGGTGTCAGGGATTCAAAGTGCCAACAGGCAAAAGAAAGATTATTTCATATATATTCTCGCTGGTACTGTACCTCAGAGGATCGTGGGAGTGCATTTCAATAGGGCGGGGAGTACCTCCCAGACCTCCTCTAGTAAGAGCATCTATAAAGCCACGGACTACAGCACTCCTCCTGGCTGTTCCAAACTCATCCAAAGTGTACCTGTTATTGAAATGTGAAAATGGGTAAAACAAAACAGTTCGCCTCATCACAGTTTATTACCTCAAGTTTACAGTTAATATGAGTAACCATTTTTACAGTTCTAGAAATCTTGCATCAATGCTTCTACTATGAAGCATTCAAAACCCTCTGATTTTCTGGACGCCTCTAAACAGATACTAAAGATAACTTTTCCTTGACCCTCTCATTCCTTTATCCCACACAAATAAATAAATAAATGAAAAATCAGCTTTTCCATTTTTGTACATATAAGCACATATATGGTCTAGGACTCCTGTTCACATGTGGTTCAGTTGACTGACAGAAGCAGCAACTTATTGCACTGCAACACAAGGCTTTCTCCTTCTTCTCAGCCACCACATGATTAGTAGCAAAAAATTATTTTCATTTGACAGTTGTTCACTGGTTTTAATCACATGAGTCTTAGTTAGGTATTTAATGGATGGACAATTAAAGCTCAGAGTGCATAATCTCAAATGGCTTGCTGGTAGTGGAAGAGGTACCAAGAGCATACAGATGGCTCATTTTTGGAGCAGGCTACCTTCCTGTTCGGGCTGAAGCACGATAGCAAGTGAAGAATGGGAAATGAACACTGCTAACATCCCTGTTAGATCTGCTTAGAAACAGGATTTTTGCAAGCACGGAACACTTCTATTTTTTTTGAAAAACTGAATTTAAGCATTTTGAACAAAACACATAAGTTACAAAGGAGAAAAAGAAAAAAACCAAAACACATGACAGTTTATTTTTCCAATGTAATTGATGAAATGCCAAAGAGTAAGCATGGTGTCACTTACCAATGACACCCAGCACCTGAACAGATATAAAAATAATAATAATAAAAAGCATGTTACTCACTGACTGAAGTTAAATGAGTACTGCATTCACAATTAAACAGATGTGGAGAACAAAATACAAAAGAAAATACTACACTGTTTCAAATATGTTCCAAGGTAAGTTCAATTAGATTTCTATTATGCTATAAAAAGTCCAAAAGATCCTTCAGTTTTGATCTTTTCTATCTACATTACTATTTGAGAAATGGGGAAAAAAGCACACGGAAGAATCCTGAAATTTCTGTTTAAATCTTTTCCATCATACACTGCACTTGTTAACTCAGAAAGTAAATATCTGCAATTTAAAGAAAAAAAAAAGGCTAATGAAAAAAGTCTTTAATAAATTACTATTTACAAACATTATGCAATTAAAAGTGGGAGAGAGCTGGGATTTGCTGACTAACTACAGTCCAGGAGCAGCAGCGTTGCAATGAAAAAATCTCAAGTGTTTGTAGAAACCAGCTAAGCTTTTTATTTCCCCTCCAATAAACAGCTATATAATAGATCATTAAAAATACAGCCGCAAAAGAGATCTTGTGATCTTGTTATTAGTTTAGAAAACAGCATTTAATAATGATAATTTTGTTTTAAAAAGAAAACTACTAATTTTCCTTTTGCTCTCAGTAGAACAGGGTATAACTATGACAAAATCCTGCATCTTAAAAAATTCAGTAATAACGATTATTTACACCAGAAACACAGTATTTACTACTATGTTATTACATGTACTTATCTTAGGGGAAGAAAACAACATTTGGATTCTTTTCAACACACCTTCAATTTTTTAAAAACTCAGTAAAGCAATGATCACTGTGGGGAGAGGAAGGAGGTGGTGAAAAAGCTTTGAAAATCAGAGTGGAAGATGGAAGAGGAACACTGCTTTGAGCTATGACTCCATGTATTTTCTATGAAAAAGTTTTCAATTTTTGTATTAGAACCAGGAAGTGAAAACCAAACTGAAATGTTTATTTCAGATCCCTACTGACTGCAGTTCCCAAAAGTCCATCCATGGTGCAATCTTTCTGCCACCTTAAGTTAACAAGACCTAAGTCAATACAAGAAAACAAGAATTTGTAGTTTTGTTTCTAAACTCCTGCCCTTCTCCATCTTACCTACTTTCACCCAGTCAAATCACAACGTTTATCAGATGCAAGGACAGTGATTTGGAGGAAAAGTGTTTAGTTCACACAGCAGTGTCTATATGCATAAAGCCAACAACAATTTAAAATTACTTTCTTCTATGACATAATTTTTACATTTTGAACTCAGCAGTCTGTTATGTACTGAAGGTATACAAAAATTTTTGGAAGGGAATAAACTAAATCTTGAGGTTTAAAAGGTAAAGCATCAGTACTGCAATTTTGACAATACTGCTGTAGCAAGTAGTTAAGCATGATAATGTATGATGAGAGACATACAGCTAAATCTTCTACAGTAACGTTTACTTTTGCCTTTTTGGCTGAAGAAAAGTCCTACCTACCAAGTTCTACCTTTGGTAATACTAGTACTGCTGTTTGTGAGAGAGATGTCAGAAGAAAAATAAAGTCTCTTTGGTGGATTCATTTTAAGCTGGCCAGCTATGGGTTTATACAGAAGATGGAGGTTTATTTCCATAAACGTTAAGAAAGCAAAACAATGGTTTTACGACATTTGAAAGTAATACAATTTAACAAAATATTTATTACAGAAAACATAAACTGTATCTATAAAGAATCCTATAAAATGTTGTGAACCCAGCTGTTACTGATCCTTTGCACCTGTGAAAGAGGGCCTGGAGGACAGAATGCAAGAACGGACTGCAGGCCCCAGCTATGGCCCAATGTACTGCAGTGCACCACATGCAACAGCTGGGGAGGTTGAGGGACACCATCTCTCCCTCAAATTAACTAGCAGAACTGACTGAGCATGTTGATATGTGCACTCTCTCTCAGGCTGACACAATTTTTAAGGTCCACTTGCACTATGCATTTACCCCATGAATTGCTCCATGGAGATTTACAGTGTCGCATACCCCCACCTTCACACATTTGACACTCCTAAAGACAAGGCTAGCCTTTGAAAGACTGCCTAGTACTCTACTTTTAGCCACAGGCATCCAGGACAGCAATTTGTAATAGTTGCAAAATGTGATGAATACGTTTTTCAAAAAAGCCTAAAAAGCAAAGAAGTATACGTACCACTTCTTCAGGTATGGCCACTCCAATAAAAACAGTTCTTACAGTGCCACCCCGTGGTTAAGTTGTCTCTACCATTTCATTTACATTAAGCAGTCCCTTCAGCAAATTCTGAACAAGAACTAGAGAGTAGTATATTTTGCGTATATATCTAAGTACCCCTATGCTTTAAAGGACCAAATGTAGTAGATTGTTTTTAATAGATTATTGTACAACTCACAATGGAAGGCATTCTTACTATCAGGAGCATTTCAGTAAAAGCTAATTAGCCTTTATCAATTTTTTACTTTGAGAATTTAAATAAGACAATCACATGCTTTGGAAAGCATTTTTTTTCTTCAGAAAAACCCTACAAGAGTAGCAGAAATTCACAACTCATTTAGACTAAAATAAAAACAGTCTGACATTTTACTTTAATTAGAAACCAGTAAGCTGGAAAAAGTCCAATGACATTTACTGTACCATAATTATGTCAAAAAGACTTCTGAAATTTAAAGAAGTTGAAATATGTTTGTTTGTTTTTTAAATCTGATGCAAGACTAAATTGCCACCATCCTTGGCACTGTAATTCATGCCCATCTTTAAATCCTATAGGCTGGAAATACTCATTTCTGTTTGAGAGAATCACAAACATTTACTTACTTATACAGGACAGGTCTGTCTTGTAAGGCTTCCATGGCTTGAGCAAGAACTGGAGAAATGTCACATGATTCTTGCGTCAAAGTCCTGCATTCATCTATAAAGTATCAACACAGATAAAAGTGCATTTTACACTGTAATACCTTTTATAACAAGCTGTCAAACAAGAAAATGAGTCAAAAACTCAAAGGTTGTTCATTTTGAATTGAAGCCTTCAGAATATGCTACCTGGCCTAGTTCGTGTTAAAGTAATTCCCCCGTAAGCAGTACATTGCTGTAAAATGGATGTCCATCACAAATCTCAACAATAATAAAAATTAAAGGGAGCTTAGTATCTGGTTGCGCCCACATACAAGTGTTAAATCATTCAATCATCGGAATTCTGTCAGGCTCCTTTATAACTGTTTACCACATTCCAGGTAAACTCCTAAGAAAAAAAGTGAGCAAGTATTTAAGCAAGCTGTAGGTTTGTTTTGGTTTTGGGTTTTTTTGGTGTTTTTTTTGTTTGGTTGGTTTTGTTTTGTTTTTTTTTTTAACTTTAATCACATTAACTATATGATCTTGTATATTCCATGCAAGAACGTGGAAATCATATAAACTAAATCAAACACTGGCATAAAAATGATGAATTTTCATTAGGGCGAAACCACAACCATTATTTGAGGCTTCAGCATCTACACTGAACAACAGCTAATGAATGTAAGATTGCATTGCAGCAGCTTTTTTTCACAAATCTTCCTGTCAATGTCTTGGGAGAAGAGAGAAGTAATACAAAAGCATCTACATTTTACACTATCAAGATGTTACATCGAACACTGACACTTAGATCCAGAGTACATACGTGGAAAAAATAATTGCCTACTATCATTCTAAAGAGCATTTTGATAAAATAAGGCTTTTTTTTTTTTTTCATTTTTTAAAGGTAATGAGCCACTCCTCACACTAAACTAAATCTTACTACCAAATTGTCAAAAACAAGAACTTCCCTGTGACCTGCAAGAAAATGACATGCAATACACTTAACAATTTGTTTAGACTATCAAACTGTAGTTGTTGTTCTCTGTGGAAAACGATTTGAAAATACAAATAAATAATACTGTTTTACAAACAGAGATGAGATAGGCCCAAAAAAGGAGAGAATCTCCAATTAACTATTTGGTTCACAAAAGCTAGCTTTTAGACAAACCTTTCACTAAGAAGGAAACCCAAAGCCTTGTTAACGAATCTTGGAAAGGGTTTCTGCCGAGTTCAATTCACATCAAGGAATTAAAGGAATCATCATAATAATATTCATAAACATAAAAACATTCTTAGTCCTACTTTGAGTCCATCTGTAAAGTCGTTCATAAGATGTCTCTTGCAGTAAAGCCATCTGTTCCATAATTTCCAAGCTACAAGACAAAAAGATTTTATTTGCAAATACTATTTTAGGTAGTACTAGCAAAGGCACGTACAAATCAAATAAAACATACCATTATTAAAATTATGAAAATTTAGAAATGTTACTGTTCTTTGTTTTTTTGTGAAATACCCTGTGTAGTCATATGAAGTAAAAAATGAGACCTTTCTGTAACATCTGCTTTTAACGAGTAAATAGTTATGTTGCACTCATTTAAGAAGCACTCACCCCGCCCTTTGCTGATTTGTCCGGAGGAGAATCTTGACATCATCATGAATTTGCTTTACTCTTCCCAAAGCCTTGAAAAAATCCTAAATCAAATAAAAAAAAAAATAAATAAAAGCAGTGTTTAAAAGCAGTAACTTCTCATTCAAATCTCTAGCACTCTATACTCCCCATTTCAATTGCATATTTATGTTCCTTGCAGGTCTGTGTTCCAAGTGCCGTTTTTTTAAAATACAAGCCCTGCCTCCACCACCTCTCACCTTTCATTCCATCTTAAGAGCCTTAGGATTTTTTTCCTTCCCATTGCATCATGCCCTTCTTCCACAAAAAAAAAAAAAAATAATAGCAGCAAAAATGTGTTTTTAACCTCTTTTATGTAGCATGTGTGTGTTTTACATTTATTAGTTAACACTCTGGGGAGATGCTGAGGACATTACTATTCATTCCATCATCTTCTCCCCGTTCACATTAGCAACTAAAGAGCAAACTGAAATGTTATAAAGTACAATGATTACAGGTTGATATTTTTTGTTTTCATATAATGGGGTAACAATTTCTAAGAAAAATCAAACATTTGCAATAGACTAGACCAAGGTTTTCCAGGACAGTCTTTCCCTCCTGAATAACTCAGCAGCAGCTGAAGAAAAAAAAAAAAAACAAACCTCTAGAAGATATTGACACATAACCAAAAAGGTTATCTTGTTACTGTTGTAGAGAGCAAATGGAAATCCACTAATGTTTTCAAACACATATCTTATTATGAAGTTATCTTTCAAGCATCATGGAGGAGACTAGCAAATTCAGACATAACTGTTTGTTATCTCTCTTGTGACTTGAACACAGTTTGCCTCAGGAAAGTAGAGTTTCATTCTGGCTCAAGTCACATAAAAATATACATATACAAGTGAAGTAGGACACTGATTTAACCTACTGCCTTGCATCAACTGTGTTGAACATCATGTTTATAAAAACCCGAATCGCTCTTCCTTAAGGAAAAAAAAAAAACAACAACATTAAAAAATTGCCAAAACAGAAGCCTGACTAAAAATGTTTTCAGCATGCTGGTTGATTCTATCATAGGGGAAAAGCACACACATGATTTTACTGAAGTCTGCCATTTCAGTAGCACGACTATGATTACATCTCAGTTACTTCTGCACATCTTTTAGACAGATCAAAGTATCAAAAGGACTAATCATTGTTCTGCTGTGAACCAAGCACTGAATAAATGGCACAGCGTTGCTGTCATTGTTCCCTGCAACATGTGCTTTTTAGAAATCTGAATGTTCCTTCACGGTAATAGTTGGTACAAAAGCATACAGCAATTACTCAAGTGCACAATCATTTAACACGTTCCATTTATACTTTCATTAGCACTGTTTATGGTTATCTGTTCCATGTCTTTAATAATGCTTTAACTGCAAACAGGATGCCTGTGGAAACGAGACAGTATGTCTCAGCAGGTAGTCTACATTTAAGTGAAGGTTTCTATGCAACTACGATAATAAAAATCTATTAAATGTACTCAATTCTCCCATTATTCAGTCCGCTTTTACTGCAGAACAATGTGCCTTCTTATTCAAACCATAAACACATTAAAAAACTTGTTTTGGAAGGTGGCTAAAAGTGAATCAACACCTAATATCTTCATCAACCAAATAATGAGGGAAAGTCTCAGCTTATATTGTTTCAAGTCACGGAATACCTACATACATGTATTTGCAAAATGCACACACACATGCACAAGGGTAGTACTACATAGTACTGAAGCGCTGCAAATTTCTCATTTGCTTTATTTGAGTGTGATGAAGTTTTAAAACACCTCCACTAAAAAGTCAGGCTTCATAAAGGCCTTTTCGAAGTGTAGAACCACACGATAGCTCATTTGCCCCTTAAACTCATTACACAAACTAGAATTTAATGCTCATTTTCTTTCTTGTTACTTGAATCTTTCATCACACATTTCAAACTCATCAGAAATTCACCATTCTGTTAAAAGGTACAATCTTCCATAAAAAATTAAATTACAAACTGATAATAAGATCTCATGTACAAATCAGCTAGGACGTTTCTACATTTTAGTTCAGGGCAAAGCTTTTAATGTTCATTGAGCTACCTCAGTAATTGGTTCATCTTTCGTGCCTCGAAGGAGGTTCATTTCATCCGGTGTCAGTTGGAATTTTGCTATGAATGCATCTGCAACTTGTGCTTTCATTTCTAGTCTCTGACTGTAATAAAACAAAGTGAAGAGGACATTACCTTTTTATGCTTATCTCAAATTTATTTTGCATATTCATACTTTTGGAAATATAATTACCATTTGAAACCGGTGTTATTAAATTCTAATAGTACATTCTTGCCATCAAACACTTGAGTTGCATCTTCACATACAATTTTCTATTAAACTTACATAGATTACTGAGTAAAGACAATACAAAGGTAAGTTAGCACATTTGAAAACTATTAAGTTCTTTAAAAAAATATTGCTTTAGCGTTTGTATCACAAGTTAACTCATCCAGATACTTTGTGCTTGTACAGTTGTAATGCTTGCAGTTATTTCCTTTCAAATTCATCAAGAACGGGGTTTAGCTCATGTTTTCAGAGAGACACAAAAAGCTGTAGCACCAGAAATGAGAAAATGATCATTAATCTACTTTTCTGTAGAACAGATCCATTTCTTTTTAACAACATACAGTTGGAATACAAATTTACTAATCTCACAAGCAATCAAAATGTAATGGCTAATTCTCTTGTTGATTACCCTTCCTGAAATAAACACAGCAGGGATGTAATATGCAAACCCCATCTCATGGGCAGCACCTTTTGCACACATTTTGTCACACACCTTACAACCACAGAAGGACCCAAATGAATATAGTTTTATTCCACAGGAAGGGATTGGAATTCCTGTAGCAATGGAAAAATTGCTCCAACTGTGGTTTGAGCACACAGCATTCCAGGAAATAAAGACTACTTTTTCAGGACATTGAGAAGACACTACTTCATTATTTCATAGAATCATAGAATCTTCAGGGTTGGAAAAGACCCTTAAGATCATCGAGTCCAACCGTTAACGTAGCGCTGCCAAGTTCATTTATACCATGTCTTCAAGCACTGTATCTATCCGTTCTTTAAAT